TTACAAAGGGGTTGCACAATATCCGTTAGCACCCAAGGCCTGATGTAGCGCAGGCTTTCGTGGTTCTGTGTCACGGGTGTCTCTGTGGGGTTGTGCTAATGCCTCTGCTGTCAGTGCTGCAGCACTTGTCCTGAAAAGCCTGCTTACATGTGCAGCCTTTTGGAGGGAAGGTACAGAAAAAGGCAACAGAAACTATTGAAGAAATAAAGTAGTTTCCAAATGGCTAAGCAGACTGGGATGGTCAGCCCCAAGGAGAGATGACTTGGGTGGGGACAAGCCAGTCTTCCAGAAAATCCTAAGTGACATTCGGAAAGTGACTGCTGCCTCACTCAGTACGTGGAAATCAAGTGAAATCAGCATGTTTCAAAGAAATAAGAGGAGCTGTTTCTTCTCGTGGTGTGTTGTTACACTGTAAAATATATTGCCTTAAGGTATCGTGGATGTTAATAGTTTACATACTCAAAAAAGTAACTAGATAAAATCATGGTGGGAGGGACAGGCCCGTTGGGGACTGCTATAGGCTAAGATGCTGCAGCTGTCTTAGAAGAGATACTGATGTGTGCACCACTAGAACTTAGAATCATAGAATCATAGAAAGTTTTGGGTTGGAAGGGACCCCTAGAGGTCATCTAGTCCAACCCCCCTGCAGAGAGCAGGGACACCGCTAACTAGATCAGGTTGCTCAGAGCCCTGTCCAACCTGGTCTTGAATGTTTCCAGGGATGGGGCCTCCACTACCTCTCTGGGCAACCCGTTCCAGTGTTTCACAACCCTCATTGTAAAGAATTTCTTCCTTATATCCAGCCTAAACCTACCCTGTTTTAGTTTAAAACCATTACCCCTCGTCCTGTCACTGCTGTCTCTACTAAAAAGATTGTCCCCATCTTTCCTATAGGCTCCCTTTAAGTACTGAAAGGCTGCAATCAGGTCTCCCCGCAGCCTTCTCTTCTCCAGGCTGAACAAGCCCAACTCTCTCAGCCTGTCCTCATAGGAGAGGTGCTCCAGCCCTCGGATCATTTTTGTAGCCGTCCTTTGGACCCGCTCCAACAGTTCCATGTCCTTCTTGTGCTGAGGGCTCCAGAGCTGAACGCAGTACTCCAGGTGAGGTCTCACCAGAGCAGAGTAGAGGGGCAGAATCACCTCTCTCGACCTGCTGGCCACGCTTCTCCTGATGCAGCCCAGGACACGGTTGGCCCTCTGGGCTGCCAGCACACATTGCCGGCTCATGTCCAGCCTTTCGTCTATCAGTACCCCCAAGTCCCTCTCAGCAGAGCTGCTCTCGATGCTTTCACCCCCCAGCCTGTATTGATAACGGGGATTACCCCGACCCAGGTGTAGGACCTTGCACTTGGCCTTGTTGAACCTCCTGAGGTTCACACAGGCCCACCTCTCCAGCTTGTCCAGGTCCTTCTGGATGGCATCCCATCTCTCTGGTGTCTCAACCGTACCACTCAGCTTGGTGTCATCTGCAAACTTGCTGAGGGTACACTCGATGTCGCTGTCCATGTCATTGATAAATATATTGAACAGCACCTGTCCCAGTATGGACCCCTGAGGTACTCCACTCGTCACTGGTCTCCACCTGGACATTGAGCCGTTGACCACTACCCTGTGGCTGTGACCATCCAACCAATTCCTTATCCACCGAACGGTCCACCCATCAAATCCATGGCTCTCCAATTTAGAGAGAAGGATGTTGTGGGGGACTGTGTCAAAGGCTTTACAAAAATCCAGAGAGAAGACATCCACAGGTTTTCCCTTGTCCACCCTTGTTGCTACACCATCATCACTTCAGGATGAACTTGATAGAGTTCATCCTGAAGCTATCAGTGTATGGCTCCGCCACTCTTAAACTCTGCTATAGGCATCTGCTTTGAGTCGCTAGGAGAGAGAGAACGCGGGGTAGGTGAGCCTTTGGTCTTGACAGCAGATCCCAGTCTCGCATGACGAAGAGGAGAACATTTTAAGGAGGCAGATTGTTTCTGCCAACTTCTAGTGGCTTGTCTCTAACAAGAGGGCAATACAATATTTATAAGGAAAAAATGAAGTAAGACTCTTACAGAGAAATAACCTTCTATTAAATCGTCAGAGGAAATAATGTTTTATTAAATTACTGATACATTGAAAAGGAAGAAAACCCAGAAGTTTCAGGTGCATAGGCTTCTCTCCAGGTATTTCAGTTTAATGAGAAATCTGCTTTTTTGTTAAGATTTCCTGTTATTACCTCTCCAGCATACCTATTTCTTCTGTGCTTTTGAAAGGAAACATTAGTAAAGGGGAAGGCTGGAGTTGAAAACGCTGCCTCACAGATAGTAAGTGTGGTGGGGGAGTGGAAAGGTAAGCTTTGTGTATAATGAGAAATCACGATTGTACATCTGAATTTCAGGCTTCCTGGATAAATTCCTTGCAAAAGTGTGATTTGAAATCTTTTAAATCATGAAGCCTAGACGTGTAGATAGTGAAGAGGTGTGATTTTTTTGTGTCAGTGTTGGAACAGATGCTTGTTAGCCAGGCAAAAAACACAGCAAATAAACAATGCAGCCAAGTGTAACTATGATTATGATAAAAATAAACACTACCCTTGAGGGCAGCAACATACGTGCTGTGAAACAAGCTCTTTGCATCACGAATGTTTCTGACTTCTACTGTTGGCATTAGAAATTCCTGATTTTATCATCTTGATTATTTTAGCAAGCAGGCTCATGTTCTGACTAGGAAGGAGTTGTGCAGTCTGTTCATTAAATGCTCAACTATTGTTTTATAATAAATTCGTGACTTGTAGAGACTTAAGTGGAATTTTAAAGCTCCTCTCTGTAAACTGTAGGGATGTGATTTATTTTCTTCCTCTAAAACTTTCCCCACTGAAAGCTGCCGTAAAAATTTTACTGACTCCAGTGCTCTTCAAAATTGTATCTTGAACTGTGGTACTAGAAAGAGCATAATATTAAAGAACTCACAACTGAACTTTTCCGTTGTCTGTTTTAAAATCAAAAGTTTGAGGTTTTCCTCCTTCAGTTAATTACTACCCAGAACCTTTCAACTGTTCATTTCTGGAGACAGTCTGTATTTATGTGGTATTGCCGTGGTTTTTCCTTGTGGATTAACCATAGACTGGAACAGCAAAGGTCAATACTAACTACAGATGACTTTGCCAGAGTAAAATACACCCATGTTTATTCCAAACCCCTAATTTTGCAGCTGTTGGCTTAGTTTGACTCATGTAAATCAACTCAGTAGCCCAAATCTCAGATTTTTAAGGCCTTTTTATTTTTCTAAGGAGACAGTATTGTAGAGTGTTTTTTAAAACAGCCAAAGGGGCATAGTTTGTATGCGTGCACAGGCAGTAGAATCAAAATACAAAGTGAAAAAAGTAATGAATGATCGATAAACTTGCATCGCAGTTGGAGAGGAGGGGCTGGATGAGGAAGGACAGCAGTGACGAGAGATCACTTTGGCGGCAGCTGCTGGTAATTGGGTTGCAGGGGATGTTGTGTTTGTGTGGCAGTGGAAGTCTTCCAAGGGCCCTTACTGGAGGTGAATGAGCAAATCTTGGCTGTGGCAGCTGGTAGAGAGGCAGCAAGGGCTGAAGTGTCCTTTTCCTGGAGCTTTCTGCCCTGCAGCTACGCTTTGCCAAAGCAGATATTTTTGTGCGGTGGATATCGCAAGTATTAACAGTACATTGTTTTCAGCAGTTACAATGACCTTGTTGGCGGAGTCAATGCACTCCTCCTTCCATCACCAGAATTTCTGCTGCTTGGTGGCACAGGTAAGCCATAGCGAGTGGCAAACTATGTTTTTGCTTTTTGAGAAAGATAAATGTTGTTATTTTCCTGAAACTATTAATATTATGAGATAACACTGTTTTGTGAAAACTTTTCACCTTTTTAATCTGGCAGAAAAGCATTCAGATATTTAAAGCAACAGTTCTGTCTTATTTTCTCTCTGCCCAGTTGTAAATATTTCCCAGCATAAGGTCTGTGGAAGCCAGTATGAAATAAAATTTTCTGGTTTCGGTACGTTGTGAGGTGAGCGGTCAGTACTTGTAGAAGGAGTATGGAGAAAACCACAAAAAGAATCAAAGGTGACTGCTAGCTCGGATGTGTGCATGGATATAAAAAAAAAGAATTGTGTGAATAGTTTGTAGCCAATTTAAATGGCTTATTAAAGCTTTTGTAATTTGAGTTGCCCTCACAAGCATTCACAAAAAGAACTTTTTCTTCTAGCTCTGTATTAAGAGGAGCTGGAGCTTTGGATTTGGTTTATGGGAAGGGCAGGTTTGTAATACAAATTCTCGGCATTGCTACATTTGGAGTCTGGATACTAGCAGCATAGACTCAGCATTAAAAGTACACTCAGTTTTTTAGCCATTGTTCTCTGAATTATTTTTTATTAATTCAGCGAGCTCTAAAACCTTTAAAATATGAAATCATTTGGAAGTTCTTCTCTTTTCAAATACATTGCCCGGAAAGTGTTTTATCTTTGGTCTGTTAGTGTTTCAGTGAGTTGTACTCTTGGCTACAGGACTGTTTGTGTGAGGTTTTACAAGCTGTGTGGCTTTTATGTGGTGGTAGGGGGTTTGTCCTGAAGAGCTAGAATTTTCCGTTCTAAGTTTCTTGGTCACTAGGGTTTGCATCTTGGCTGAAAATGAATGTGGTTTTAGTAGAAAGTTGATCTGTAAGCTGATTTCAGGAGGAAATTTGTCATACCTTTAACAGATACTTTCAGCCCTTTAATGTGCAGGATTCATATTGTATAGTACAACACTGGTGACACATGTCATTGCAGAGCAATGTCAGTGTGTCGTACCCCCCCCTTAGGTTGTTTTTTATGTTTTTGGGAGCTACTTGTAATTTTCTATCTAAAATTATCTCAAATCTGCATTATATTCCTCAAATCTTTCTTAAATCTGAAGTTTCAAGTAGATTGGTCTTTATCTGCTCAGGTGTAGAGAGGAGAACAGGCCATTGAGTGAAGATAGAGAAATTACAATAAAAAGCTAGCATGAAGAAGCTTACCCCTCTTTCTAAACAAGAAAGACCAACTGATGGCTGGTTTGGGCAAGCAGTAAGCCCAGGTAACAGGTGTCAGTCGCATCATTGCTCACGTTTGTGTAGTGCTGCAGGTAGCAGAGAGAGCTGTGAAAGGTACAGTACTGTGGTGGTCCAACCTGCGTGCAAAAGAGGAAAGCATTCCAGCTTGAAGCTTCTCACACGAGCCCCTTCATCGTGTGTTGCAACTGAGTTGGGCTTGGAAGCTAGCGTAGAAGCAGCAAACAATCAGCCTACTGCTGAGGAAACATCTGACAGGCTTTGTAGATGCAGTCACCTGGTGTGATTTGTCACTATACCCGTATACTCCTGTGGAAGGTGGTTTTATGCTGGTAAGGACAGCAGGGTAGAGGAGATGGGATGTGGACTCACGTTCTTCTTCCCAAAGATGGGAGCACTTACAATAGAGGAGTAGTCTGCTGGAGGACAGTCTCTACATTTAATGTCTGCAAACATCAAGGCAGTGTTCAGTGGAGGTGTAGATGTGCGGATCTTGGCAAGGCAAGCTGCGGTCCTGTCCCCTTTTGCTAATGAAGCAAGACACCCTTAATTTAAGACAGTCATCTCCTGGCATAGCAAATGGGACAGGCGTCCAAGGAAGCGTGGCAGTTCTGACTTGGGTGGACTTAATGCTGCAGTGTAAGCACCTCCTGGGCTGGGGCTCCAAGGACAAATGCTACGTGTGCTGCAGGGAGGCAAAATTGCTGGCCTCAACGGCAAGCAGTGGTAGTCACCACCCCATATAATGAGAGGCACAGTTATTTCCTAGGAGACGTGCCAAATAAACAGAGACCATTGACATGTTCATATTACAATGGTTTCTTTTTGTAGAACTACGGTTTTCAGGTCACTGGCTCAAAACTGCAGGAACTAACAATTTTTGGCATCTCTAACACAATGACTATTCCTCCTTCTAGTGGAGCCATGACTAATACTTTGTGTGCACTGTGCATCATGGAACTCTTTTTATGAAAAGAGACAAGATAAAGATGATTTTTTTGGTGCTTTTGGAGCTTAAGGCCTTGTCTAAAATCCAAGAACATCAGAATATTATTGGAATCTTTCCCATTGCTTTCCATATAAAGCTTTCTTTGAAAGACGACCTAAAATAAGATTTCAGAACATCTTGTGTACAGATGTACTGCTTCATGAACTCCAGAGAGTTCTAGAATATAAGAAAATGGAAGGATGCCATACTGCTTGTCTAGAACGCAAGACCTAAAGCAGCAGAGCAATGTATGGAGAAATGGATGAGTTTGCTTCAGAGGTAAGGACAACGCTGCATATGTTCTCTGTTCTGGGGGACTGTCCTTGTCCCGGAAGTCTTTATTCAGCTTTTTTAATAGCTTTTGGAAATTTCAGGTAACCAGAATTTCCCAGGATATTGTGAATTAGGCAGGTCATACCAGGCCTAATTTGGTGGATGTGGGATAACTGCCATTCCTGTAATATTTTCCAAATGATGCTGATTGCAGGACACTTTCCTTACTGGGGGGTGAGGATTGGGCCTAGGACTGCTTGCTTTTAACAGTACGTGTGGGAACAACAGCCATCATGGGATAGATGGTTTATTTATCCCTCTGGTTTTGAAGTCTGCAAATTTGATTTCTACAGACTTTGAAGCCTCTATATGAAAGGCCCCATTTCTGTTTTTAATTCTATTGCAAAACTGCAGAAAGTGTTAATTTTACTTTATAATGTAACTTTTTTACAGGTGCAGATTCACTCTGCAGAAACAGTTTCAGCCTCAGCGATGAAAAGCTTAACTCTCCAACTGCATCTACTCCAAGCTTGCCATCTCCATCAGTAACTCCATGTAAAGGTACACGTAATTTTCACTGTTGGCACTTATTCCTAATTCTTGACTATATAGGCTTCTTTCTGGGAGCCAGGATGTCACATGTGTGCATTGAGTCTTTTTTTTTTTTAAATGACAACGAAACTAAGAATTACTGTTGAGCACACTACAGATTCAAGTATTATTGTCTTGATTATAAACAGCAATAGCACACTGCATCTACACTTCTTTGCAGGTGACCTGGCAGCTCTTTTGGTTTTGAAATGCCAAGCTAAAGAAAATTACAGGTTTTTGGTTGATGAGGACTCATGGTACTACTTACCAAATACTTCGCTTAAGAATTAACTTGTGTTACTACTTACTGAAGCAACTAAGTAGCTGAAGTGTGCCATCTATATACATAAATACTTAGCCTGAATGGAGATGTCTGGTAGGTGACTCCTCCAAAGCCATAGGCTGCCATTCAAGATAACACAATTACTCAGATCCATATAGACCTTGCACTGCTGATACAACCCATGTATTAATAATTCCTTCATGCTTTGTAGCTGTGCTGTCACAAAGTGGCTTCTGTCTTGCAGCTGATCTAACTCCCCAGGAGCTTGTTTCGTTCAGGTTAACTTAGATTGACTCTGGAGTAGACATACCAATAAATGAACAGGCATAAATACGTACTACAGGGTGCTTTTGTTACAACTAGTCTTTTCAGATGCATGCTCAAGAGCTTTTCGTGCTTTCATGTCTTTTCAAGTCACAAAAAACAAGTTAAATGCTTTTTTCTAATTAGCATGGTATTAGGGAGAAATAATGAGTAATAGTTAATAAGAAGTAGCAAAAAATAGTTCAGTTAAACTGGCAGGAAATACTTGGCAAGGAATTATACTGAAGGTCAAGATGCTCTTCCTGATGAGAAGACAGAAATAGAGTTGGAACTGGCTTGGAACAGAGGACGTAAATGAGATAAGGAAGCCACTTGCAGTAAAAACTAGATTGAATGGAACTTAGGTGGATGTTTGGATCCAAATTCATAGTGTATGGACCAAGATCAAAGGATCTGACATCACAGCAAACCAGTGATACTGACATGATTTAAGAGGCTCAGATTTGGGTAGAAATGGGAGCTAACTGGCTGGGGTTTGATTAGGGCCATGAATGCAGTATCTGAATAGATGCAATAGGGAAGACTCCCACAGTAGCAAGGACATTGGTTAGTTGACATATAGCTTTTTTTTCTCTGCTTCAACCTCTGCTTTTTAAGGAAACTAAACAAGGGATTGATTTGCTTTGCTTCTGTAAAATGGAAAGCTATAAAAACTAGAATTTTAATTGTCTGCCCTGTTTTCTAAGAATGCATATTGACATTGCAGCAACTCTATTGAACTTCCCTGAAAATAATTCATGGCGTGTTTGATACCACTGGATATGATCTGGGGGATCACGTGGTTCCAGTGTTTCTTTTGGCCAGGGAAATATGTCCTGTCTAAGCAGTATTGACTCTTATTTTGCAGCAAAGCTTGGAGACACAAAAGAACTGGAAGACTTCATTGCTGATCTTGACAGGACACTAGCAAGTAAGTAGATTTTCATCAGTAGGCTGCATCTTACTTGGTACTGTCAAAGAGTGATGAAAGCCAGTATGTGGGGGGAGAGGCAAGGGAGGGGTAGCAATAGATTTAGACAACGTGGCTTCATATTCATTTGGTAGTCCTGTGGATCATTATGTGGATAAGAAGGCAAAAGCCTCAATTGCAGTCTTTGCCTGAATGTCTAAGGCTTGTGTAGCAAAGGCTGTACTCCAGTGAGTCACTGTCCCCACCTCTGAGGCAGCAGCAGTTCACCCCTCCTTGACAGTGTATAGATCAAGTCAGCATCACTTTCTTAAATACTCAAAACTCGGCTAAAAAGCGGGGCTTTGCTTCTTCATTATAAAGCTAAGTAACTGGAGGAGTAACCGTAGGTGAGGGAAACATTTTTGTTCTAGACTCTGCTTTATGAAGGAGTGAAGAAGCAGATACCTGTATCTATTGACTTAGATTAAATGTCAAAACTTTTTGAGTCGTGAATTGTTTGCAAGCAAATCCACATCTCTTTGCACTGATCTTTTCAGGCGGGTCTTGAATATCTCCAGAGAAGGAGACTCCACAACCTCCCTGGGCAGCCTGTTCCAGTGCTCCGTCACCCTCAGAGGGAAGAAGTTCTTCCTCATGTTCAGCTGGAACTTCCTGTGCCTCAGTTTGTGCCCAAACTGGAGCACTTTTTCTGTCTCTATCTAGAAACTGTATTTTGCAGTTACAGGACGAGATTCTTCATTATGATTTTTTTAAAGAAAAATAACAAAAACATGCCCTCCTATTCCCAGCCATGTACTCTGCCTATTCTTTCTGCTGCTGCTTGTCCTGTTTTGGACATGGTGCTGGGTTTTTTGTATGGAACCAGGCTATAGAGCTCAAACCCACAAATTGTAGGACTACACCTAAATAGCAGCATGAACATCCTTCCCCCCCCCCAGTAAATGATGAACAGAGTGTTTTTTGTATTCATTAGGTATTTTCTCTTCTCTGTAATTCTTGAAGCCTTGGCCATCTGCCTTGGACTTGGCTCAAGACAGCTGCCCTTATGAGCTTCCTACTTCCTTGTTACATTACTTGTATCTTAATCCTGGTTTCACTTCTCTTACTTAACTAGTTTCCTGACTTCTGTCATGGATGTATACTTGAGCTAACTCCATCTTTACCCCTGAAACCGAATTGACCGCTTTTCTGAAAAACTTCTCAGTTTTTGAAGGTTTGTGTAGAACAACAAAACCCCAAACCAGCAAACATTTACATGGCTGTATCTTGCACAGCCATGTTGCAGCTAGCTCTTAAGGGGCTGCCTATAGTATATAGGTTTCAGTGTCCCCTTGCAAGGCACATTGAAGATGAGGGCAGGGGTTGCCACGTGCTCTAGTGGTTTTGGGGTTTCAGGTTGTTTTTTTTTTTTATCCCAACAAAGCAAATCTCTAGTGATTTCGGCAGAGTCTCATTTATACAGTATCACTTGCCTTACAGTGATACTCTAGCATACATGGAGATGCTGAGGAAAAAGTCCAACTTCCATCTAATAGTTATCATCATGTTTTGGAGGAGTTGTACTTATATGCTCAAGGTCATACAGCACTTTGTACAGACGCCTTTTCAAGCCTAATGTGCTTGTTAGAACAGTAATTGCCATACATTTTTACGCACTAACTTTTTGGCTCTCATGTTAATTAAAAAAAGCGCATAATTTTGGCCTGTCAGGCAGTCTAGCAAGCTGGGCGTAGATGGGTGTCTGGTATGTCAGCAACATGCAATCTTATTTAGTACGGAACTTCATGATCTTTCTTGGTTTGTCTTTCCAGGTATGTGAAATGAATCTTTGGCATTGTGCTTGCCTGTGAGTGTCCTCTGAAGGAGAAGTGACATCAATCACTGAGAACTGCTGCCCTTGTCTAATAACTTTGCTGCCCAAGTTATTCACCTTCTGAACGTAACCTTTGTAAACTCCTTCAAGTATTTAACTGGCAACATCAGTTTTGTTACTTTGCAGCAGATGGAATAAGAAAAATGTTACAGCTGTATTTAGCTTTAAAATATAGCCTGAATTTTAATTTAAAGTTGCTGTATGAAAATATATTTGTAATTTTATATAGTTGAGAACTTTTAATGCTTTTTTCCATTATAATATATTTTTGTATGCAAATAAACCCTGAACTGGAATCCAGATGTCTGAAAGCTTCATATGAACATGCAAATTCTGAAACATAAGTACAAATTAAGCTCTTATTGAAAACATCAAGCTTTAAAATATCTGATAAGGGTGTATTTCCTATTAGGCAAAATGTGTTATGCTGGCTTGATGTGGAACTTCATATTTTTCTTTTCAGATTGCTTCAATAAGACAATTTTGTACTATGTAAAATTAATACAATCGGGAAAATAATAAAATTGGTCAAACGGTTACTTCAGATTTGCTTTAATACAAATGAAATAACACTGACTTAGTACATATTTGAACAATAACACCTATGGCAAACCCTATGTAAAATCTAGCTTTAAAATTCCATACCATTCTACATGAAGTACTAATTGGGAGGTCAGACGTTTAGGCCCGCGGGTTTAAAGGTATGGAGATCCTGCAGCACTGACAAAATACTTCAGTGTCTGGATGTTTCTGATACCAGACCCTTGGGTCCAAAACAGTTTACCACTCGCCAGAAGACTTCCTGGCCATCGGTGTTACACTGAAAGAGTGGAAGGTGAACCCATATTTTTACAAGGAACCTGATTCTTTCCATGTGCATTAGGCACTGGAGATGTCATTACGTGAGCTCTCCTCCAGCTGCTGCAGGCATTACACTTGGCTCTGCTGTCTGAGCTGCTCGTGCCGTTGCTCTCTAATCTGTTCAGACCAAGTGAGCTGGGCTTCTTTGAACTCCAGGTCTTATTTTGACCAAAGGAGGCCAGTGAGCAGTTGTGGAAGTGGTTCAGATATTGTGCCCCCGTTGTCTGTTATCATCTCTGAGTGTGTCTGTGCCTGGAGAATGAAGTTTCTGTGCCCATGGCACAGCTACCAGCCAGTTGCTTGGGGACCTTAAAGGTTTGGACCTGCCTTCTGCAGTTTGGGGGAAGTCTACTATGTGTTTGCTGATGGGAACACCATGAGGATGATGTAAATCTGTCTCCCTGCTTTAGATTTTTTCTAAAAATTGACCAAAAATTTTGGGTTGTGTTAAACATCATATGATTTTTTTCCAGTTTTATTCACTGGTAAGAAAATGAAATTCTGAACTGTGTGCACTTTAATGACCACCTTGAGGTAGTTTTGTGGGTTTTTTCGTTCTTTCAGGCAGAAAGGCAATGCAAGATAATGGAGGATCTTTCTGAGGAGGAAAAACTCCCTTCAGTGTTTCCTACCACAGATTAGAGTTTATAAATTGTCCCTTAGAATGGAAACTAAGATTTAGGAGGGTGAAGTTTCATGTTGCTCTAGGTGAGCTGAAAAGTCTCTGAAGGAAGATGGGATGGTTCAAGTTTGAGACAGCGACGTGCTTCCATGTGCTCTGGGACCTTCTCAGAGGCTCCTGTGCTGCAGGAAACCCATTCTGAGCAGCGAGGTAGGCTTGGTCTGGCGAAGCCAAAGCGTGATGGAAATTTACCACTGCTACACGATAAACACCCAGGAGCAAATCCTCTTCTTGGCTGCCTCTGTGAAGCTGAGAGGGGAGCCTGGCCCTCCTCCCTGGTCCTGGATGCAAAGGAATGTGTTGCTGTGCAAAGTCAGGGAGGGGGGTTCCCTTGGCTGGTGTAGGACCTGCTGTGACGTGGGGAGGAGGAGGCACGGTGCCTTCCTGTGGAACCTGAGGGAAGGGGAACAGGAGAGCGGTGACAAGCTCACCCTTTTCTTTTGATGAAACATCGCTGGCATAAGGTGTGTTTTTAAAGCTGTTTGAGTAGCAGCAGCAGTTGTGACGGCCTTTCTGCCTTTAAACGCTCTTTGGCAGGGCGAACCACAGGGTGGTGGTGAATGGTGGATGTTACCGTCCCGAAGGCAGAAGACCCCGGCTAAGCATGTGTTAAGTAAACCATGAGTTTCAGAGGAGGCCACCTCAAGCAATCGTGGGGTGAGGGGGAGATGGACAGCTGTTCGCTCCTCCGTTCCTCAGATCAGATGGTTTGATGTATTGGGCATGAGTTTCCTACCTTCCCTCGGCGCGTTCAGTTGTTGCTCGATCCCGTCGAGCGCTCTGGGCCTGTAATCAGTATTTAAGTTTGGGTGTCTCTCTTCACAGAGTGGTATCATAAATTAGTACAATACTTTGGAATGGCAGTACTTTGTGCTTACAGACACGCAGGTTTGAAGATTTTTTCAAGAATAAGCAAAGGTTTAAAGCCAGGCGTGTTCCTCATTTTGTGTCATGTCACTTGGGGATGGAGTTGGGGATTAAGTCACCATCTGTTTGCATTTTTTAATCTTATTTATGCACAAACAGGGGGAGACTTCTGCTTGCTTATACAGCAGTTCCGGAGATCATCGCCTGCAAAATCTGGGGCGTGTCTTCTGCTGAGCTGTTAGTCTGAATTCCCTCCTGTTTGTTATGCTCAATTTTGAACATCTTGCTGTGTCAGAAGGAAGGCACTAATGTAGATGTCCTTTCACTGGAGTATGCTTATGACTGAAGTGCATCATCTAATTACATACGGCACTGAAAAATGCGTTGCTGAGAAAAGTTCCTGCAATACTCTGTCCCCAGTGAGCATTTTTGGAGGCTGCGCTGTCCTTATGGACCAGCCTGACTTTTTAATCCTTATTTTGACCTCCCTCTGGTGCTGTGATGCTGAATTTGGCCGCAGAAGAGAGTCTCAGCCCTGTTGTGCCAACGCCACGCATCCAGAAATGGAAATGAGAAGCTTAGACTAAGCAGATGTATTGTCGGAGCTTAACGTATGTAAGGTGAGGCTCAACAATTCCTTCCACGTGTGCGCTTTCCCTGTTGCAAATTCGAGGTTAAATGGATTAGTTTAAACCTCCATCACCGAGGTTTGAGCTAATGATGTGCCTTACCTTCGGTTTGCCATTGGCCATGTGTGTGTCCTTGGTGCCGTCACCCAGGCTCAGCTGGTAGGTGGTAACTCGCTAAGCTTGGTAACATGCTCATTTTTCTGAGCGCTTAATAAGGGAGAGAGAAGAGCCAAAGGAGGATTTTTTTCCTGGCTGCCTGTGTGTCTGTAGCCACTCTTGGTGCGCCTACAGCCAGGTGAGTTTTTTGGAGGGATGAGAAAGTTGTACTGGCAATGATGGAGCTCGCTTATAGGGTAGCGCTCAACTCCTGATAGCTCCTACAGCCCAGTGCCTTCCCAGATCCTTTGTTACTCATACTCGCTTTGCAGTACTCACTGGGCATGGAATTGATTTTCACCAGGGTTGCCTGATGTATCTGCATCACACTGGAGCCCATCTTCCGTGAGATTTCATTTATCTGAAGGTGCCTGAATGTGCTAGACATCACATCTGCTAGTCTGTTGGAGAGAAGCTTCCAACATTGCGGTGTTTGGAAGCAAAGTGAGTGTCACAAAGCCAAAATGACGGCAGCAGCTCTTGAACTAAATCCAGCTCAGCATACTAACAGCGCGAACTCCATATTCTCAACAGGGAAAACTCCTGTTTTCTATGTTACTTTAATAGGCTTCCTACATGACTGACTTCACTGCAGCCTGGCTAACAGCTCTAGCTGTCTAAATAACTTCACAACAATGTAAGACGATCCTGGCTGCTGGATCTCACCGGCTTCGAGCTGTGAAACAGATCTTCTCAAGGTCCTTGTCTTCTTACAGTTTGGAAGTTGCCAGCTAAACGCTGTAGGTTGGCTTGTGGGATTAAAGCAGGCCGGTCAGTACAAAGCGACGCTAGTGCTTTGGTTGCTTTTGCTCTTTCACTTCTATGTTTTGGAAGCTAAGATATTCATCAGTTCAGGTCTTAAAAACTACGGACTAGAGGCCTGGTCCTCCCTCCTCCCAAGGCATGCAGAGCTCACTGGCGTCTCTGGGGGGCTTGGGGATGCTTGAATGGGCTTGAAGCTGGGAGTGTTACCTTCTCCACAGGGCATGGCTGTAATACTGACCGCCATCCTTCAGGTCTGTTTACAATGTATTTCAGATCAGTATTTATAATGAAGAACGTCACCCTTGCCTCATAAAACAAACCACAGTATTCTGGTATATATGCAGTCTTCCCTTTCCCCCCCCGCCAGAGAAATCTTGCTGACATATGTGGGACCAATCCCACTTGACTTAGGCACTTTGGTAAAACACTGAAGTTAGGATGTTGCCTTTGGCTCCTTCAGTGGCCATTACAAGATGCAGAGGGAGGCTGAATTGTCCCCTGAAGATGTTCTTTTGCTACAACAAATACTGTGAAAATAAGCAAGGCTTCTCACCTGAGTTTTTTCATCAACTGCCTAAAGAAAAGTGTCTGTGTCAAAATAAACCTGTCTACCCCTAGCCTCAGGGTGTAACAGTTTGTGGGCCTGGAAGAGCAGAGGCAAACCTACCCAGCCAGGCAGGGTGACCTACTTTGGGAGCTTTGCATCACGTTGTGCAATCATGGCAGCTTGCTTCAGCTCTCTACTTAGAGCATCTGTACCCCGCACCGTGCCAGGCAGGGGAACGAAGAGGAGCCCCAGGCTGGCGCTTGGGTGTCTCGGCACCCACCTCCAGGTGTTTGCTTTTTGGCTGTAGGCACCCTGAGAGCGTGCGCTCCTCTCGTGCCGCTCCCGGCCGGTGCTCTGCGTCAGCAGCCCAGCGAACGCGCCTTGCCTCCACACCTCGTGCTGAAAGGCAGGCCAGCTGTGTGGTGTAGCAGGTTGTCGGAAGGCCTTGGGGTTTTTCTTAAAAAAAAGTATTCTGGGACTGTGCCAATGGGTATCCCAACTGTAGATAATTTCTAGGTTAATTATCCATAATGAGTGGCTTAATGGCTGAGGACTGAACGGATGCCGCTGAGGTCTGTGGCAAAATCACCATTGACTCAGGCATGATGGAGGACAACTCTGTGTCAGTACATAGCTGGGCTGAAGGCTTCATCCGTGCTCCAGAAAGTCTTAGAAATTGTGAGAGGGAATCAGCTTGGAGTCTCCAATAGGAGTTTCTGGACACAAAAACATCTCAGGAGATGTGTTGCTTAACATCTAAGTT